GTTTCGAAAAAGATGCTACCTTGCGCCAACACCGACGATAAGAGCTCGTCTGACTCTACCAGCGGCAGCGCTCCTCGAATGAGACCCAAGAACATTCTCAAGGCACATGCTGGATCGACACCGATACCGAGACGTATCCGTCCCCGCCCTTGATTGTGCACTTCAACTTCTATCGTTATCTTGTTTTAAATACTGATCCTCCTTTGGAGGTTGTACATAGCCTGGTCTGCCCATCAGTTGCTTACGGGATTTGCAAGGCGCATGGACTGGCGAATCCGGCGTTGTTGTATTGTGATTGTTATTGTTGCGGTCGACTTATCAGTGGGTAAGGCGTTATGTGTAAGAGCCACACCTTGTAATGAGTTCATCTGCAGTGGTTTGTTGATCTGTTGATCTTCAATCCTGCTTTCATGTGAATATTACCGCCATCACTTCGGTTTAGTTTCTGTCAAGGTGGTGAAAGATCAAATCCAACCAACCATATCAATCGTTTGGATGACACGACGATCATCTTACAGGTATTGTATACGACTGAAGAATCTAGTTGACTACGTAGTTACCAACTGGGGGTGTGTTCATGGAGATCTCGCTTAGCCTTTGATAGTCCAGCGTAGTTTGTTTAGTGCGGGGGAGAAGAGATGCGTCGCATCGTCATTTGTTGGACTATGTATATCACCATTATCGTATATGCCGAGCATTACCGACGATTGTCTCCGTAGATCCGACTCGTTGCAGGAGCAGGATGAAGTGTGAGGATGGTCAGGTCCGATAGCTATGCAAGTGGTGCCTAATAGAGCTATACAGGCAACAGGTGGGCAAAGGTACCGTCAAACCAAGATGACGGCCATGCTCTTGGCTGAATCTTGTCATTAATATTCGCATCAGCAATTGACTTTCGGTAATTAGATAATCCTTACGAGGAAGGTTTGCCTGCTGCAGATTGCATTCTTCTGATGCATCAGAAGCCTTGCAGAACTTACCATATGTCGGAGCGGGAGCATATCAACGAGGAGTAAACTATCAGTACTGCATCTATACAAGAATAATCCCTCATCCTTCATTTTGATCCAACTCAGACGGAATGAAACCGAGTCTCATTTTACAGAAAATCACTCAAGGGATGGAATCAACCACTCAAAGCAACCTGTGAAGTACGAAGTACTCTCTCAAGTATGGTTCATTATTGACAGTTTCGAGGATGGACAAATCATTGTCGGGGACCATGTGGACCCATATGTTCCTGTTCATTAGGGGAAATGATGTCCATATCCATATCCATATCAGCTCCGTTGCTAACCTTGAGCATGAGCCTATGAGTAGGATAGCCTATCCAGTGTTACCATTTAAAAGGAGGTGTAGGGAGTAAGTTAGGTGACAGCGGCGACGTAGTAACAGTAAGGACCTCAGTGATCCACTTGGCCCATATACTCAGCCCAATGAATCTCGTACCGACGTCATGACCTGCTTCCCGTCATTCCTCAAATGATCCTATCTAAGTACTTCTAAGAGTAATGTTACTAGTGTAGGGCTACAGCCTTTATTGCTAAGATAGGTGTGTCTCAAAAGTCACGGATCCACGGGCTAAACTCGGTCATTCCTGTTCAGGAAGCTCGGTGTTTAGGGCTTTTCCGTTTTTGCCCACCGGGGCGTGGCTGAGTCCCGGGATTTCCCGATTCTCGTTACTCGAGGCTGGTGACTGGCGGTGCACTGCATTGACTTACGGAGTACAGACGATAGTAATGTGTCGGACTCCAATGAGCTTTCGCAGTAGTAAATCTTTAGGTAAATAAGGCTGCAATATACGGTTGGCTGCATCGGCTTGAACCCCTGACGGAGCTTCTTGGACATCCAAATTCGGCCAGGTGCTAATGTTACAATGGAGACAGCAGCAGAGCATAGCGTCATACTGCGTGGCTAGTTCTGACTTGGAGGACAGTCCTCCGAGTCGTTGTATTACATTTACAGCAGCCTCTTGATACTGCATGCAGTTACATTGACGCTGCAGCCTGTAGGAAGCTCGGCATCTCATTGGATTTACGGCTGCGTTTTTGAGTTGAAGAGTTTTCAGGCAATTTCGGGACGGATTTGACAGGAGTGTGCTATTGGTGGTTGGTGACATCTTGGGCGCATCTTATCATTACACGGAGTACTTTGCAGTTTCAGTTATTTTGTCTACTGTACTCTACTGTACTTTGTAGAAGTGTACTGGTAGATACTACTAGTCAGGACCATGTGTTGTGACCAGCTAATCCAGCTAGCTTATTGGAATTGTTTCATATGTAGCTATGTACCGTGTCAACGATCATGATATTCGTCCCAACATTAAATTGATTTTTTATGACCCGCATAAAGCGAAACCAATTAAGCAGACATCTGCTTGGCCGTCTCCTCGGGCCACACATCGTAACCAAAAGTATCCTTCATGTTGACGAATCGGAAATGACGGCCCTCGGCGACCTTGTTGACCGCCTCAAAGTCGGCATCCGACAGCTGAATGCTCTTGAAGTTGGACTCGATACGAGCCGGGTTCGAGCTCTTGGGCAGCACAACGTAGCCGCGGCGCAGACCCCAGGCAATCAGCACCTGCGCCAGCGTGTTGCCGCCCTTCTTGGCGATCTCGTTCAGGGTCGGGTTCTCGCTGACGCGCTCGCCGGTAGTGGGGACCTGGTTCTGGGAGCCCAATGGCGAGTACGCCTCGGGCAGGATATCGTGCTTGAAGCAGTACTGAACGAGCTCCTCGTTAGGCAGGAAGGGGTGAATCTCGATCTGGTTGACGTGAGGCTTGACCTTGGCGAGCTTGAGCAGCTGCTCGAGCCCTTCAATGGTCCAGTTCGAGACACCGATGGCCTTGGCCTTGCCGTCTTCGTAGAGCTTCTCCATTGCCCGCCATGTGGGCTCGGGGTTCTTGGTGAGGTCTTCCAGGATGACGTACTATTTGTTTGCTAGTTAGTAAGGGTTCAGGCCGAGATAGATACTGGGACAAATTACCTTTCCGTCAGGACCGATCTTGGGCTTCTCCTGCGTCTCCTTCTCGGCGGCAATGGGCCAGTGGACGAGGAAGAGGTCCACGTAGTCGACCTTGAGCTTCTTCAGGGAGTTCTCAAGCGACCAGATGACATCGTCGTAACGGTGCAGGTGGTTCCAGACCTTGGTGCAGATGAAGATATCCTCGCGCTTGACCGAGGGGTTCTGCTTGAGGAAGTCTTGGATGGCATCACCGACCTCGTCCTCGTTCTGGTAGAACCAGGCGCAATCCAAATGTCTGTATCCGGTCTTGAGAGCACATGTGACAGCATTGTAGGTCTCGCCTTTGGCACCCTCGCTGGCGAAGGTTCCGAAACCGACGGCGGGGATCTTAACGCCGTTGCTGAGAGTAAAAGTGACACCGGCCGACATTTTGCAGAGAAGTAGAGGCGCAATTGAGGTAGTTGAAGTGGAAGGATTCGAGGATAATGAAGAATGGAAAACTGATCAAAAGAAACAAGATGTTCAGGGGTACTGGAATGGATGACGGATAGGTGGGAGAGAGGAAGGAATTATTGGGTGGTTTTGAGGCAGAGGGGTAGCAGTGTAGTAAGAAGCTTAGGTGGGGTTGCAGAAGACGACCGAAGGCGGCAAGCTGGGATGACGATGATGATTATGATGCTTTTCTCTCCTAAGATCCTTATGATTCTTTTTTTTTAAGCTACACAATCTTCTATCCTGAGAATCAATTCCTGTTTGTTCCAGCTTAAAGGAGATAAGCAACAAACATGCTTGACTGCATATCTTCTTCACTAGAACTGCCTCTATTTTTCTGCACTCAATTGCTGATGATGTGTGAATAATAACTAACAGCTACTCTGAATCTCCTGAACATTTTTGAGAATTAATTCCCAAAAGTTAATTCACCATTATTACTCTGTAACTCTGCTCTCTTTCTTTTCTCTCCTTAGTGATGTGATGCCCCACCAAGACACACAGTCCCTCAGCGATGACATCATATCTGCCTACCTGCAACCAGCAAATCAAAAGGACGAAACGGCGCGAGCGTTTGACCCGCCGCTGCCCGCTCGATCGTCATCGGCTCCATCGATCTGTAGACATTCCATGGGTGGAAAACACTAAATAGCCAATCATAGCAAGGATGGGTGGGTTCCTGTCCACTCAGCGTGCAAATTGGCCTCATGCTGGCTGAGAGGATCATTTCTTGGGCGGTTCGTCTGGTAAAGAAATTTCCACTTTAAGCCTTTATCAGCCAATGGGTGGGTGGGAACGTCAGTGATGCCACCTTCGGCCACTCAGTCCCCGCCCCGCCCTCTTTCCATTCTCTGATGAATAATTTCTTGATAGATGTTACAGACCGTATCAAACAGGGTCTACCTTCTATAATGAAACTTAAATACCTCCTTTACGAAATACACAGTACAGCCCAAGTACCAAGACCCACGGCAATCCTGCCTGTCGGGGCTGAAAAGGGTTTAGCCAGCCCGACGCCGGCTCCGCCGTACCCGCTGGGCGTATCAATGTTTCCCTGGTACCAACCATTATTGGAAACAATTACAGCGTAGTCCATCCCGCAGTCATTGCTGCTACCATGATACCATCCCATTTCCCAGATACCTAAAACGTTGATGACGATAATTCCTAGGAATGATGATACGCCTGGGTGGAGCCTGATTTTCTCATTATGCTGCTGCGTTGGATAGAGGGAAAGACAGTGACAGTGGAATGGTTGACCGCCACTGGTTCTGGTAAACCACGTTCAAGTTAATAAATACCTGATCTCCTTCACTATCACCTTGAGTTTTTCTTCATTCACCTTTTTCCTTCATCCTATCCTTCCTTATCTTCTCGGGAAGCCGTTTAGTGAATCCTTCAAACAAACACTGATCCGGCCCGCCCCTCCATATAAGAGTGATATCATCTCTCCTTCTCTTATTACCCACTCATCTCCCTCCTACGGTACTCTACCTTAGCTCTACATCTACATACTCTCTCAACTCTCATCTACCATCACCATGCCTCGCTTCGACGATGCTGACTTTGGCGTCGAGCCTGCTCCTCCCGGTGCTCGTTCGCCCAGAGATGCCCGTGGCAGTGCTTCTGGCTCTCTTCCCATCCCCAACGAGGCTGGCAACACTGTCGAGATCCCTGCCACCAGAAGCTCCATCAGTGATGCCGCTCAGTTCATGCACAACCTGAGCTTGTCTCCCTCGATGCGGGATCGTCGGGGTTCTCGCAACTCTTTCGGCACTTCCCTCCCCATCCCCAGATCCCCTCGTGTGTCTCGCCTGTCTTCTGTTCGCATGGCCGACGCCGCCTCTGTCTCTCGTGACCTCCTGGCCTCTCAGGTACAGGACATGTCCAAGGAGAAGGTCGCTGCCGCCAAGAACATGGCGTTCGCTTTCGACATCGATGGTGTCTTGGCTCACGGCAACCACGCCATCCCCCAAGCCAAGGAGGCCCTTAAGATGTTGAATGGTGACAACGAGTTGGGCATCAAGATCCCCTACATCCTCCTGACCAACGGTGGTGGTAAGACTGAAGCCGCCCGTTGCGAGCAGCTGTCCGAGATCCTGGAGGTGCCTATCTCGACGGACCAGTTCATCCAGTCTCATACTCCAATGCAGGCATTGTCCGAGTACTACGAAACTGTTCTCGTCCTGGGTGGCGAGGGTCAGAAGATCCGTGAGGTGGCCGAGAACTACGGCTTCAAGAACGTTGTTCATCCCAAGGATATCCTTGCTTGGGATGAAACCGTCTCCCCATGGCGCACATTCACCGAGGAGGACCGCGCCGAGGCCAAGCCCCGCGACTTCTCCAAGATCAAGTTCGATGCCATTCTCGTCTTTGCCGACTCTCGCGACTACGCCACCGACATGCAGCTGATCATCGATCTGTTGCTGGCTGAGGACGGCAAGATGCTGACCCGCGCCAAGGACCCCGTCTCCTCTCGCATTCCCATCTACTTCTCCCAGGGTGACTTGCTTATGCCTACCGACCACAAGGGTCCTCCTCGGTTGACTCAGGGTTGCTTCCGTATCGCCATTGAGGCGCAGTACAAGGCTTTGACTGGCGTTGACCTGGAGCGAGTTGTCTACGGCAAGCCCGAGCGCGCCACCTACACCTACGCCGACGAGGTGCTCAAGGCCTGGATGGAGCAGATTCACAACGAGAACCGTCTGCCCAAGAACATCTACATGATTGGTGACAACCCGCAGTCGGACATCGTTGGTGGCAACATGTACGGCTGGAACACCTGCCTGGTGCGCACCGGTGTCTTCCAGGGCGGCGAGAACGACGAAAACAACCCGGCCAACTTTGGTGTCTTCCCCAACGTGCTGGAGGCAGTCAAGGCCGCCGTCCGCAAGGAGCTTGGCCAGGAGTTCAAGTTCAAGTGGAACCCCAAGGTCAACCCTGTCACCCACGGTGATGGCTCTTCCGCTGTCGAATAAATCATTGACTTGTGGGCACTACAACTTTGCTACGTGACAAATGATTTGAAAGCAGGGAAAAAGTGGCTGAAGGGGTTGAGCGCTTTATTCTGGGCGTCTGGTTTATTGTCTGTTCATTGATTTACGGTCATCATTATCATCATGTTGATCTAGACGATTTTTGCATCTTGGGTTTATGGGCTAGGACTACTGATATCCATCGGCGCTTGTCTGGATGCCCTCCGGCAAGTCGACCACTGCTACAACTGGTTACAATTTGATTTTCTTTTTGCTTGCAAATAGACCTCTTTCGATTTGCGTCATGAATAGAGTTTTCTAGTTCTTTGCATTGAAGTCATGCGGTCATCGTTGACGCCATACTGACGAGTGTATCTGTTCAGCGAACTTTGTCCAATCAAGGTTATCTGGAAAAGTGTAAACAAGCCAATTTCTCCGAGAATCATCCCCGATACGGAGAATTTAAAGATATATTGTTAGTATCTATCCACCAAGTGGCAAAAATACCTCGGCAGCGTCCGAGTCATCTGTCAGGGACAAACAAACAGATAATAGAAGAAAGAACTTTCTAGACCGTAGATCTATCTACATGTGCACAAGAATAGCAGGGTTTGCTTCTGACACAAATTTTGAGCCGGGGGGTATTGCCTCCAATGTGGCAACCGCAATGGCAGCCGCAGACGACGTATTGTTATTAGTGTTGGGTGCAGACACCAATGCAGACTAAACTAGACCGCAGCCACGACGCAAGCCCAGCCGGCTTCTATCCGGTCGGCATGGTGGCTTTTTCACTTGCAGGGATTTAGTATCATTTAAGATTTTGATTTCCAGGGCGTGTGGCGAACTCTTACCAAGTAACTAGTTTCTAGTCGGAGAATGACATGATATGGACGGAGTGGGATTGGGATTGCTTTGGCTGTCGGAAATATCATTTGTCGAGCGAAGCGTAACATGTCTTAGATGGTGTATACAACAGGGATGCATATACAAAGTAGGTTCGGTGTATATCCGGTTCCGCTTATAGACGGATAGCATTGCTCGTTTAGGGCGCTGAACAACTGATCCGCCAGGATGATACTCCTCTGAACGCTACGACTATACAGACGTGAGCAAGACACTTCGTACTTTGCTATACTCGACTGGTTGAAAGCCAGTTTTTCTCCCTCGCCGGACGGGAACGTCCGTGCCGCTTGTTGATACCAGGATGGGCAGGTGTCCGTCAGCATGGAACCATTCTTGTCAAGTGGTTGCTTGTGGTGAATGATTGCCCTGGTGGTAGCGACGTCGTAGACACGATTTAGGACGGTAGTCCGTCAAGTAGAACAGTATTCACAGGGCTGTAACGATCATGCGTCTCAGTACTCCATACTTAGCTAGGGTCTGGCTCCTGGCACAGCTCCATTGTGAGGGAATCTCTGGATATGTGCAGCGTCTCGTCCCGCTTTGCACTCAGAGACAACCTTGCCGTCGCTGTATCCCTAGGATAGTGCGGAATCAATGAATTACACTCATCTTGGACATTGACCTTGCTGGTCCAAGAAGAATTGCTCAACCTGGTAACGGAAGAGCTGGACTGAGGAACCAGCTTTGTCTGGCCAACAGTCGCGCAATGAGTCAGTGGGGTTCCTCGCTAGCTGGACCTGTGGCTCGAACATACGACTGATTCTGCTCATGGACAAGGTAGCATGCAGGATGTTTGTCACGCCAGTGATCATCTTGTCGTAGACTCACGGGGCCGCCCCAGGTTGTGTTGGCAACCATAGTGAGAGCATCGACATGGAATTCACCGAGAGCTCTCCGTGCCATGTCGAGTCCATGTGCAGAGATGATGTACAACTTCTCCGCGCGTGGTAACTGACAATTGTGTCTGGTGCCAGAGACTCTGCTTGGTTGTATGCCGTTACGTGAGACCAAGCTTCTTTTGAGTCTGCTGGGTAGCGTCTTCGGAAGGCTTGTCCTATTTAGTGTGATATCGGAGATCCACATTGATCGCGTGCCACCAGGATTACCAAGCTCGATTGATCGTTGGACAATAAGAAGACGAGAATTGAAGCCATCAAATGAGTTATCTGATTGCGGAATGGCAGTGTGCCCCGGCCCTATCCATATTAGTCACGTCCCAGAGCATTGCAACCGCCAACTGATCACCATTACAATGAGCTCATGCTGACAACCTTCGTCTGTCAAGTTGCAATCATCGGCTACGAGAGCAATATCATCGAACTGCCAAAATAAGCCGATCCGAAGGCCCCGAAATGATGGTCGTCCCATAGAACATAAGGGACAGACCTGCCCCCATGCTTTGGCTCCAGGCTTTCCAGACTCCAAGGCTTTAACATTCAGCCAGTCAGACCAACATTAATCATCTCTCATCTGTTACGATTGTCGTGCCTTTTATCCGCTTCTGGTAATCTCACAGAATGCACCCAACAAATACCGCCGCATGGCAGATTGCCGAAAAGGCCAAGCCTCTTGAGATCAGGCCCGTCGCCTACACCCCTCCCAAGGAGAATGAGATCGTTGTCAAGAATGGCGCCATCGGCCTGAACCCCGTCGACTATCTCCGCCAGGAGCAGGGTGCCGCGCTGTTCTCCTGGACCACCTATCCCACCATCATGGGCACCGACGTGGCGGGTGAGGTCGTCGAGGTGGGCTCCGGCGCCGCAGCGGCACGCTTCAAGCGTGGCGACCGCGTGCTGGGGCTGGGTAGCGAGCTCAAGGACAACAATCCTGCCGAGGGCGCGTTCCAACACTACACGGTCATCCCCGCGCAGGTGGCGTCTCCGATCCCCGCGGACCTGTCGTACGAAAACGCCGCCGTCATTCCGCTAGGCATATCGACGGCGGGTTGTGGGTTGTTCCAGAAGGACTACCTGGCGCTGCAGTTACCCACGAGCCCGCGGGCTGCGTCGAGTGGCCAGCTCCTGCTGATTTGGAGCGGCTCGTCAAGCGTCGGCAGCAACGCTATCCAGCTGGCTGCTGCGGCGGGCTACGAGGTCGTCACCACCGCGTCGGCGAAAAACTTTGAGTACGTCAGGTCTCTCGGCGCTAGTCATGTTTTCGACTACCGCAGCCCAACTCTCGTCGAGGATATCAGGAAGGTCTACGACGGCAAAACCGGAGTTGGTGCGCTGGCAATCGGCACGGAGGCGGCAGGCCCTTGCTGTGAGATCCTTTCCAAGGTCAACTCGCGCAAGTTTGTGTCCTTGACCAATCCCCCGAGCGGTGCATTGCCGGAGGGTATCGAGTCCAAGTTTGTGTTTGGAGCTGCTGTCAAGGATAATGAGGTTGGACCAGCCATCTTCGAGGCTTTCCTCCCCAAGGCGTTGGCAGCAGGTGAATTCAAGCCTGCCCCGACTGCCGCGGTGGTGGGTAAGGGATTGGGATCGATTCAAGAGGGACTCGATCAGGTGAAGAAGGGAGTGTCAGCCAAGAAGTATGTTATCAGTCTGCAGTAGAGCTCTCAAGTTGTTAGTTGTCCTTTTTTGTCGTTCGACTCAGACTCTAGAGTACTGGCTTAGTGGCATGCAATCAGTAACTTTTTTTTGTCAGGTGTTGGGATCATATCGCACGACGACCTAGATGTTTCTACGGAGTAGGTCAGTACAGATTCAACAGTTGCTACTGGGCGCAGTTCTAGATTATTTTTTCGTGAATAGCCCTGCAGGACTGCCTGTAATTCCTACGGAAGCTCGAGACCATTCAAGGCCGCAGCTCAAGCAGATGCGCGTAGGCCCTTCCTCCCTAAAAGGTCGATCAATTGACCATGATAGTACTGATGTTTCAGAGATCAAATGAGGTTCTCTAATATGGACTAATTGAGCATATCGAAGAGTGTTTCTCCTTCACCTGGAGGCGAGACCCAGGGGCCGACATTGCGATTTCGAGCGTGCATAATTGTTACAGCCAGTCAGACATAGTCGTAAATCGAGAGGTGATCTTCCCTGGTTATGTGCCAGTAGCAATGAAACCCTTGTCTTCCCTAGACCTAGTGGACTAGTTGACCAGTCGATTGCACTAGTTGCACATCATTGAACCAGTACCCATCGGTAGATGCAGTGTGTATGACACAGCGGACTGATCCAAGGAATCAAGGGGTTCCGACCAAGAATGAAAGGGTCTAGGCAAGTGACCTCCGTACTCCTTGGGAATATGGGATAGACAAGGACCAGGCGGACGGAGTAGATAGTTCAGGTCTTGGCTGGATGATCCTCCTTGGCATTTTCTTCCTTGAGCGGACAGAGAGGTAATGTTGACCACGAAGGGATGGTTATGCGGTCTAGACATGCATGCTGAATGCTAACTTGATGATCAACATACCATAGCGAGGAGCTGGGAGAAGAAGATCGTCATCCAAAACCCGAGAAATTGGATATGTTGCAGCTGCAGAGGATGGCGAACTGCAAGGAAAAGAAACGCCAAAAGAGATCAGGTCATGTGGTGTTTCCTTGAGAAGACAAGGACGGACTAGCAACGGAGTCCGCAGGCAGGACTATCCAGACTAGTTAGCGTCAAGTCCAGCCATTGTGCAATAATAGTCCACGTATTTGAGCTAAGCATTAGCATTGTTTTGCTGGACCGAGTCGAACCATTTTCCGGTCGGAGATCTGTTGCCAGTTGGATGGAATTGTTGGGATCCCCGGGTTTGCTAAGGGAGTTGGTCAGGTGATGACTGTTGCAGAGCCAGGGGATTCGGATTGCTAATAGAAAGGTCAAGTGACAAATCAGAGACACAACTCATCATGATCCTATAGTGCTGTAAATGTAAGTGTCAGACCTCCGCATGATCATATCACCACCCTGAGAATGCTTGACGAAACGACGAATGACAGATCAAGCTGAGACGGCTAGTGTGGAAGCTAGCATAACTGTTAGGTAAGGCAAAACAGGGGGCGCAGGTTTAGTTTTGGGGAACGTGGCTGGATCTGGGGTACTCGAGACTAGTCGGTAGTGCACAGTACTCAGCAGTACAGTACATACTCTGGTCTATGGGAGTCTGACGG